TTGTTTTTTAATCAAATTTTGAATTAAATTTTTATTTGGTAAAGGTGTTAAATCTTTTACTGAACAAAAGCTGCTTTATTCTTGTCAAGATAAAAATACATGAAAGTGAGATATATTCGCACTAGAATTATTTTGTAATTTCAATACGCAAATAAAAAAAATTAAATATTATAAACATTTAATTCATTAAGTAATCTTAAACAAAATATCATGTAATAAATATGTCAGACTTTAAAAAGCACAAAATAATATCTGTGCAGAAAGTTTAGGGACTCAATACATTTAAATAGTCAAAGATACAAAGTTTACTTAATCATAAACATAATTATTACATTTTTTATTTCAAAATATGTTTTTGTTTGAATGTAAAACCCCTTAGACGAAGAGGAAATATTTTTTTTAAATGTTTTCCCTAATGTAAATAAAATGGATGAAGGGAATATACCACATAGTAACTTTTTCGATTCAAAGAACAAAGTGCATTTGAGCGTTAAGCAAAATAAAATCTCATACTTTCCTCTAAGCCAAACCCAATATCCAATACAAACAGATAAAAATCAAAGCAATGCTCAAGTAAACAAAAAGGTCAAACCAGCAAAAGAAAGCAATGGTAGGGAGTTAGATTTTCAGGAATTTCTTAAAGGAAGCACAAAGAAAATTTCAAAGTACAAGAAAATTCCGCATTTATTTGCCTTATGAATGCAGTATCCTTTCCGAGTGTAGACGCAAAACACGCCCTGTCTGAGCACATGTAAGACTAAAGTAGCACGCGCTAATTTACCATTTAGTTTTTCTTTTTCTTTCTTTTTTGTTATTTTTTTTTCATATCCTATTTGTGAAAGGATATTTTTTCCGATTTTTTGTTTTGTTTTGCTCGTGAAATTTCATTGCACTCGAAGGAGCGGTCAAATATTGGAAGTACTCGTAGAATTCTAGTAGAGTACGTAGTGTTACAGTAAAATCAAATAAAAAGTTCTGGGTACATGAACTTTTGAGAACAACCTTAAATTCGTATTCACTTCAAAAGAGAAATAAGGATAATCAACAAGAAAAAATAGTACGAAATAAAGTAAAGGATAGTAGTAAAAAATATGTAGAAAAACAGTGTTGCTGTGTTGTGATAAACGATTATTAGTAAAGGCATATTTCAATTTAAAAAAACGTACTAACAACTAAAAGAAAATCTTAATTTGTCTTGTTTTTACTTAAATATTTGAAAGTACTGCTTCTGAAGTAATAATTTATATATATATAAGCTATAAGATATATGTTTTAGACAGGAGTGTAATAAAATAATATTTCATATTTTTTTGTTCCCTACATTTAGTTTTTATATAGACGACTAAGTGAAATTAACCAACTTTGAAATGAAAGCCCTCAAATAGGCTAACGTAAGCTGTGTATTTCTTTTATGAAATATACTCGTAATAGATATTGGTGTGTGGAATAATCAATGACCCAGAATACTCCCATTATAAACTTTCATTATAACATACGATCTGAGGCGAGGCGTCGAATGGTTCAGAGTGTTATACCCAACATTACTTATAATTAATGAAAGAGAAAACACATTCCTCTTAAAATATACTAAGGTTCAGAATAAAAAATGCACAGCGCTGCTTACAAAGCATGCTGCAAATGAAATAACATTCACATTGGGACTGTAACGAACCTTTCTGGCCGGGGTTTTGCTCGCCGGATTCAAGGTTCAGTCCTACAATAAATTTATTTGATAGGAACAGTGGAATACGGTGGATGGTGACGTTGGTACGGTGATATGGTTTGAAGAAATGTGAATTTCTTCTTCATACAATGGATTTGGTATGGGTGCTAATCCTCATGTGGTATTATCACCTTACCGCGTAATTTACTAACGAAAATTTGATTTCGTTATGAACAATAGAGTAATAGAAATTTATATTTCTATTACTATTAACGAAATGTTAATTTCGTTATTAATTATGATTTTTAATAGAAATGTGTATTTCTATTAAAAATAAAAAAAAAATAAAACAAAATAGAAATCGAGATGTAAATTTCGATTCTTGGTGTTTCAGCACATGTAATATAGAGCGACCTGTTCTTAGCTCGCTGTCTTGCTGAATGCCCGTCTACTGCGTTTGCTTCGCCTTTTATACTTGTGATGTGCGAAGCAAGCAGTATCTTTGTTCTTGTGATTTCAACGGTTCGTTGTTTACAAGTTTCTTTCTATTGTTGTTTGTTTTCTTGTTGTTTATTTTGTTTTTATTATATTTGTGTTGTTTGGTATTATTTGTGTAGTAAAATTTAGTTAGTGTAAATTTTATGTTACAGGACTATGTTCAGTATTGAGTAAACACAAAACATACAAACAAATATAAAAATAAAAGAGAAAACAAGCCCCGCAAAATATGTACGTAAAATAATCATAACTCTTAGATTAATACGTGCAAGCGGTTCAATAAAAACAGTGAACCTCCAATGTTATGCAAAGTAAATACAAAAGAGAAAAGAAATGACTGAGCGAAAATCGCTTTACATTTGACGAGAGGTTTAGTCGATTAAACTGAACCCGAAGTTCATACGAAGCGTGCAAATACAATCAAAGTCATGGTTGCTGTTTTATATGGGCAAATGGTTCAGTAAAAAAACTGAACCGCGCATAGTAAATACAAAGTAAAAGAGTAAATGAATGCATGAGAGTTTTTTACTCATATGTAGAGGTTGGAAATAAACCAAAAATAAAGTCATTGCAATTTCATACTAGCAAATGGTAAAAGTAAAGAAAAAAATTAAAGAAATTTGAAGTGAAAAATAATATTTATAAAAAGATAAATATGTGATTAAAGATTTGATTTAAATATGTTTTTTTAAACGATCTTCTGAAAAAAAGATTTTAATTCATAAAATGAATAGACCAACTCCAGGTATGAAGAATTTGATACCTGTTGTAAAAATGTCGAAATTTGTGATAAGTCGTTGTTTTCCTACAGCTACAACTTTATGGTAAATAAAAACCAGTGGACACCTTGCCAAAAAGCTGACGCCTCGCTATCAATATTATAAAAATTACTAATACATTACAATATAATATATACAAAGATCTATTGATTATATATAAATATATATGATATAAAGATTGTATATAAGTACATTATAGTATATAAAATAACATTGTTATTTTTAAAATCTCTGTATTCTGCTATCGAACTTTAATGTCTTATAACTTTCATGTGTCCCAGTAGTGACTACAATAATTAATTGAATATCAATGGAGACTTATATCCCTTAATTTATTTTCGCAATGGAAATATTTTTAACTTATTTAATTTGGTTATCAAAAACCTTAGAACAGTGCTTGATTTTACCATATCAAGCTTTATAACTGATAAAGAACATTTATTCTATATAATTTTGAAAGACTCCTTATATCCCTATACCTTATAAGTTGGGTAGTTTTCTAGTTTTAGTTTTTAATAAAAGTAGTTTATTGTCTAACGAACTTCGTCTAAAAACAAGCAATAAATCGAACTAGAAAATTTAAAGTCTTCAAGTTTCACAAAAGAAATGTGGAAATAAGCTATGAATTGTAATTTTTCTGGTTTGATTGTTTCTTCTTTCTTCACAAAACAAAATAATGTTTGATCAAGGTGCGTTAAGGATAGTTTCAGATACATTTTTATAACACATTTATAATAAACATCGGCATTAAATAGAATAGGAGTTTTCACGAAATACAAAAATGCTAAACTAAATTTGCAAGAGTGTGAAAACACCTCTCTTGCAGAATTGCAATATCAAAATGAAACAGCATACCACATCCACATGCGAAGCAGCAGATGCCAAAACAGCTGTTTTTTCCCTTTTTTGTTTCTCTGCAAGTATATATACATGAATATAGGTATTGCAAGATTGCAAGCAGTTGCAAGAAACTTTGTGCTTGTATTTTGTTGTTGTCTGTTGTGAATTTTCAACTGTGAATTTCGTGCACTTTGCAATGAGTTTGGTATAAGAACCACCTTGAAGCATTTGTAAAGTTTAAAGTTCTATTTAAAGAAAGCGCTTTTAGTTGGGCAAGTTCTTAAAAAAATAGACCCCTAGTATAGGCAACTGATACCACTTTCATCGTCCTCCCCACATCTGCGACAGAAAGTATTAAACTTTCTGATTCAATCTTCTGTTATGGTTTCCTAAACAACTGTTTGCCGTT